AGGAAGGCAGTGTGCCATAGAAAGGTTTAACCACACCGCGTGCTCTGATCGGCCTCATGTCCAGACCTCCTGGAGAAGTCATCTGACTGCACTGATTACTATTATGCTGAAAGCTTGAACTTGCTCACTGTTGTTACCAAAACCAATAAGCTGACATTACTATTGGAGCCTCTGGCTCACTCTAGGGTTAGGCAACATTAAGTACTATGCAACCCCATATACAGCCACATGTATAGGCTGTTCTGTAGCACTTTCACCTTCAGCCCAAGCTGTGGCAAGTCAGAGATGGCATGAAATCTACTCTGATTGGAACTTCTCTTCTAAGAAAAATCTCCACCAAAACAAAACACAAAAACAACAACAAAAAAAAACAAGTCAGGTGATTTTTTTTTAAATTTCACTGGCAGAAATACTGTGCTTTGAGGAAACATGGCAATAAAAAGCTTTCCTTCTCCATGGTTACCTAACAGCAGATAAAGCTCAGTCACACATCCTTTAACTCTTTGAGCCAAATTTAAGAGATTGGAAGAACCACAAGCTGTTAAGACAACTTTGAAGACAGAATGCCATCTCATGTAAAGTTATTTTTCCTGCCTATGTGAAACTATTCGGGCCTATTCCTCTTCCACTATGGAAGGCTGCCAGTGACTTTAGTGGTGCAACGGTGGATCATTTCTTCTTATGTGATACGTGAGTTTCTCATTATTCCAGATTTTCATCAGTGTGATTACTGGTAAGAACTGCAAGAAGACATACATGGAAAGAATCTGTTTATAAGTTTGAGAAAACAAATATGATCTTACCTTTGGATCATTTTCAAGCAAGCATGCTAATCTTTTTAAGTTTAATTGATCATAGTTCACTCTGTAGTATCCACTTAAATTTACATTTAGCAGGATCCAGTCATATTCTGACTCTGATACTTGCATTTCAGGAAACATTTCTGTAAAGTGACATTAAAATGTATCATTTTATTTCCTGTGCACTGCTAAATTCTCTTGCATTTATAAACACTGGACTCGATGCTCCTCTGAGATCCGAGCCACACGTTTGAGGTTGGACTCAGAGAGAATCCCCCAAAAGCTGGGTGCGTTTGTGATCTCTGCTCTGCACAGCAGAAGATCTTCAACAAGCAACTGACCCCTCAGGTACTGAGCACCTTGAGATGGCAAAGGGGAGGCTGAAGACCCACTTTGCTCCTACCCATTAGCTCATAGGCAGCTGAGAGAGTTCAGAAAGGTTACCCAAGAATAAACAGTCTGGATGAGGGGCAATACCCTCACATGCCTGCTGCAGGGCATGCACCCCCAGCATGCCTGCTGCTCCCAGTGCTGCTCCAAAACACAACTCTCAGTACCTTACGGAAGAACTGACTGCCTACCAGTATTCACATAAACACAGATCAAGGAAAGCAAAACATCTAAATTTATGCAAGAAACAAGTAATCAAAAATTTTATTTTAAATAAACATCCCGTAGTCCTTTTGAATTACATCACTCACTAAAGGCCTCCTTCTGCAGTCCCATTTCATCTCACTACTACCTACTTTATGTGTGCTTGTCTGATTACTTGCTCCTCATAGCCTACAGTACATCTGAAGGAGCCAGTGCAGCCTTGAAGACTCTAAGATGCTTCATCAGAAGAGGATTCAAATGCTGCTTTAACTGGCTATGATCATCCTTATTTAAGAAGGCGGTAAACTCTCTTAAGATAATAAATCAGTAGTGGTGAGTAGTCTAGAGCCAGCACTGCTCCACTCTGAACAGAAGACTGAGACTTCAATGTGTTTTGACAGAGCTAGTAGAAGTACTACAGGGATCATCCTCAGTCATCTTCACAGGGAAAAGAGGCACATGACAGATACTGGCTTAACCATTTAAAAACAGTATGGGTGGCTAGAATATGGCACTAGCAGTACTTCCTCTGTAATAGCATATTGGTCCAATGCTCTGCTCATCATCAAGAGCACTTACAGATCCAGCTAAAATAATAAAACTATGCTCCTCCACTCCCCAGGCTGAGTGAAACATGTTTTATCATAACAGCACCCTTTTCCTAGTGTGTCTTTTTTTGCTGCGCAGACATGTATCACTCAGGGACAGTGACCAACACAACTGTATGGGCAGAGGCTAAGTATGCAGACATTGCCTGAGGAGCCCTAAACCAACAGGACAGGCTTTTAACACTGTGCAGTGCAGTGCTGAATGAACACATTTGGCTACTGGTAGCAGCCCAGCTTGTCGCTTGGAGTTTAATTTAACCTGTTCAGAAGTAAGATAAATTAGCTCCTGCAGAGCTCTTTGCAGCAAAAATACACATACACGGAATCGCTTTTGAGATGTTTCCTCATTATGTATTGTTATACCACTGCATCAACTATTCCAAAATTCAAGTTAAAATGTGCTTTGTACCAAATCCCTCATTTTCATTTACCAAAACCATTCTCATTAATACCTCTGAATGACTACATTAACAATTCTCCATTAATTAACAATTAACAACAATTAACAATTAACATTAACAATTCTCCATTAATTCTACATTAACAATTCTGTAACAGAAGCCATCTCAACCTCACAGGAACAAAATGGTAACTGAATTTAAAATTACCCTTAACATTTCTACCTTTGTAAGAAACCATTTGGTTTATTTATGCATCAAAAAGGAAATTATTTTTTTTTTTTAAATCTTAAAACGTGAATACAAATTCCTTGACTGAATAGTATCTGGTAAGTTTGATACATGGTTTTCAAATACAAGTGGAATGTGCTTTAATCCTGAATTTCTACTTTATCATAGTTCCTTCAGGCAGATGCAAGATGATGGGTTTTTTTCATAATTTCTGTAGCTCTTAAGTCACATGATGGGTGAGGAAATGGAACTGTTACCACTTCAGTAATAAAAAATTAGCTTTCCAAGCAACCGCTGCCTAACAATTCTTTTCTGCAAATTTTCTGATTTTTCACCTTAGCAATCATTGGTTTCTTTAACTTTAAATCTAAAGCATTCAGAGGAATAAACATCCACTGTTTGCTTATTTACTTGTCCATATACTGTGAAATGGTCACTCAAGCTATCTTATTGCCTCAAAAAGAGGCAAAGTAGCTTTTAACCACTGTTAACAGAGGGTGGAGAGCTGGGACATGCATACAACATATTGTAGTTTTGCTCTTAAGCATTCCACAAACACATCAGTCTCTACATCTCCTTGTAACAGATTCAAAACCTTATGGAGTTCAGGGCTGACTTGCGAAAGAAAAATAATTACCCCATTCTAATGATTACATTTCTTCTTTCTCAAAAAATATAACTGTTTATTGGAAAGCACTGAGATGAGAAAGAACTGAATTTTTTATTTGCTTGGAGATGCCCCTAAACTCATTGTTCTATTATAAGCCTTTAAAACTTTTTAAAATTCTGCCCTTTCGGTAAGAGTATTTTTGCATTTAATTTGCATAAACAAGTTAAATCACATGGTGTTGAAAATACTAATTTTCTGTTTTTACAGATATCCATGTGTGACAATGTTGGGTCACTTCACACAGCTGGTTTTAATCTTTCTCAGTCTTCATATCTACTACTTGAGCTTGATCATCTTCTGATACATCACAGCTGAGATCCTACCTACACTCAGAAGCTGTCATTAACACCAATGGGATCTGCTGGGGTAAGCATAGTACAGAAGCATAAAGAGCTAGGAGTTTGTATTTGTGTACAAAATGACAAAATCAAAATTATTGTGGAAATCTCTATTCATAATATGCGTTCTACCATATTGTTAAAAAAATACGCTGAAGTTTGATGCAACACAGAAAAACCCAATCTATTAACCTATTTGAAAATCTATTGCTATTGTAACATAAAATTAGCACAATAGATAAACACAGACATTTCTGTAATACAGTTTTATCTCCCTATTCAATTCAAATTCTGTTTATAGAAGTATTAGGTGTGTTTTTATCAGCTGGTTTTAGCATGTGTGAACAAATACATTACTTACTGCTGCTTTTATCTAGCCACATTAAGGGTTGTGATGATCCATTTCTCATCCAAGAAATAGGAATAATCCATGTGTTACTTAACAAAAAAGGAGATAATACAATTAGTTCTTATGCTTAAAAAAAACCTTCTCAGATGATGCTAAACTAGATTGCAGATGAGTTCCTTCTTACAAGAATCACCATCTATCTTCTCTCCTCTCTGATACACAAAACCTCATCAGATGGTGGTACTTTTGCTGTACCAGCACTTAGGTTCAGCAAACATAAGGGAGATTTAGCATGGATTTAAATAGGCACTCATATCTAGACTACTGTTCGATGCTAGGTATTTGAATACCACTGTATCTCTGTATTCTGGCTTTCCTTCTTCAGGCAATAATTTTATTCTCCTCACTTATTACACTTCACCCTATTTCTGGAGAATGTTCCGAAGGGTATCTACTAAAAAAGGCTCCAGGCAAGCAATACAACTGTAATTCTGACAACTGCAATTTCCTTTCTGAGGGAATGTAAACCTCCCGGCGAAAACAGATGAAAGCTTACAAACCCCTGAAGTTGCTCACGAAAATGAAAAATTCTGTAATATTTGTCCTGGATTTGCTTAAATTCACATGCTATTGCCTCTTGCTGGAACTACAGTAAAGGACTTAACATTTGTAACTTGAAACTCCTTATCTGAGCTAACCGAAGACACTGAATGGACTAATCCTCTGTGCTTCCTGGAGCTTGGAAGCAAAGGAAACTCTGTGGTTCTCGTGAAAGTTTCTCTTTTGGCTGTTTGTATGACCAGCAATAGCATCCAGGGAAAAATTGCTTTGGGCTTTGCCCTGCTTTATACTTTTTCCCCAGGTGAGAACTCATCCCATGGGCCCTGTCCATGCATCCCAACACTCATGATAGCTGCTGAATTTCATGAAATTTCAAACTCTAGCCATACGTTTCCAAAGTGGGTGACCAAAGGCAGCTCCTTCTATCATTGTTTTTAGGCATCTAAATAAGTAGCACAACTTGCAAAAGCACCAGGGACTCGGCAGTGCTCACTGACAGGAACTTTTTGCTGCATGTCAGGTACTCAGCATTTTCTGAGAAAGGGGTCATTTATACAGGTACTTAAATGCAACCCTTTGCCCTTGCTAAGCAGAAGAGTCTGAGAATATGTGCACTGGAAAGAAGCTACAGCATGGTTCATCCAGTCCGTACAACTGAGGGATGAGGAAAGCAGAAATTTCCAGGCAAAACTCCTGCCCTGCAACCTATTCATGGCCTGTGTCTGTCCTTACAAAGCCATTATTTGGCTGGAAAAGTCACTACTCCAGAGGAAAGCAACCTTTTGGCAAAATAGGTGGCTTGCAGAACTATCACAAACTCTAGTCTCAAACAGATTTTACTTGACAGCTCATGACATGAAAAAACATAAATTAAAAAAATCAGATGCTCAAAACATAATGTCCTAACTGAAGAGTTTCCTGAAAAAAAAATGGTATAAACATATAATAAAAACACAAGCTAATCATACTTGTAAGAATCAGTATTGTTTTCATTCTTTTTATTAAGAAATTGTTCCTGACTGATTGTGCCAGTGGTTAGATTTAATGTTAAAACTGGAAACCCATTTTGGCATGTCCAGGAATCCATTATTTGTTTTACAGATGCTGGCAACTGAACTTCATCCTGTGCATCTACAACCTGCAAGAGAAACAGGAATTATAATTATTTATGATAAACAGGTACTTACTGATATTTCTTCAGCAACACTCTAGGGGTCGTTCTAACATGTTAGAGAATGCAACTGCTTTGAAGCAGTTTGCTTGTCTGACTCACGCAAAAAATCTATGTAACAAAGTGAAAAGGACATTATTGGCATTATTACAAAGACAGCATAAGCCTTTTTAGGAATTACGAAATATTGAGATCACATTTCTCATTCTTTTAACCTGACTGCTAACCTTTCTCTTTTTAGTGTTAATATACTTACACCTCTGTATGGCTATGACAGACTTAATTTGCTAATTTCACTCAAATAAAGCTGCCATAACACAAAGATTTTTAAGTGACTACCTAATGAACAAACTGAAGAGTAAAGACAAATTGAAAAAGACACTAAGCTCGAGTCCCAGCTAGTGTGAACTGGTACGGTCTCTGTTGGCTTGAAAGATGTGACAGCCTTGCATATCTGAAACTGTGGCACTCTTGTTCTTAGCCTAAGTCTGCAACACAATGGAAGCCTTCTTTAGAGGAACAGGAAAGTGGAATTTTTAAAAATAAACCTATTATTGGTACCCGTTTTCTTATTCAGATTTCTGCCAAAACCAGCAAAGGGTGAAATGCTGAGCTACTGACCTGGGTATAGACTTTGCTGGATCTGTGACGTATCAGCATCTTGGATCGTCAAGCCCAGAGCATCACACACACTGATCTGGCAAAACTTAAGCTCCAGAAGAATAGGCTATGCAATTTCATGTGGGCTTAGGCAGTCTCCAGGAAACCCAAAACTCCACCAGGCCCTGATTTCCCATCTCATCTCTCTATTCCTTGTACTTAGCTCCACTGATCATAGGTGCAGTAAAGCAGCCAAATAAACACTTGTGAAGACATTAGCCGAAAAAGCCAGCAAAGCAAATTTTATGCAAGGGCAAGACTGCACTAAGGATAGGCAAATTCCAGTGCAGTCTTCTACAAACAGTATAGACCCTAAATTTGGACTGTGCCAAACACCAGAGCAAGAATACTAGAGATAAAATGAGTACCATCTGTATGTGGGTCCAGAGATCATCTTGGTTAGCATTTGAGAAGGAAAATTCTTTCAGATACGACTGTACAGAAACAAACAGAAACATCAGAATTCATGATGGTTCAGTGAAAAACATCAGCAAGACAAACAATAATTTGTGCAATTGTAATCTTCCAGCTTACAAATCAAGATGAAGATGTTAGTTTTTCAAACTTACAGTGAGTGCTCTGATAAACAACTTCTCAGTCAGGAAACCAGAAAGCATCCAGGTTATAGAAGCCCCCTGGAGTACAAAAAAAGCTATGAGAAAACATGAATTATTATTGCAATTATTATTGCAGTATTTTTTTAAACTATATTCCAGAGAAGTTAGTCAGGCTATGCTTCATATTTCACAGAAGCTAAAAACGTTTTCACCATTTCTCTCATAGCTAAATAGATTTGCAATGTCCAATATATTTGTGCGTGCAGCAGAAACAAATATTGAATGACAAAACTATCTACAAAAACCACTGTAATTCAACACAATATTCTACTGCTCCTCTTCAGCCTCGTTAGTTTAACCCACCATTAGTTTAGAATATACAAGAAACGGGAAGAATTTTATATTTTTTAACCTTGTTGTACGTGATGCTGTCAAACAGAGACATTAGAGAAAATGATCCCTTGATCTTGTCTTCACTCTCGGACAGTGATCGAACTCCTATTTCATTGTCTTCCATTAAGACAGGTTGTACAACATGATCATAAAAGATTTTATCCTGCAAGAAAAAGACAAATCTAAGTGAGCTGAAGAGAAAATACTTATTCTCAGGAGAGAACGTAATTATGGGATTAGCACCAATAGAAATAGTCTGTCATTAAACAAGGAACGGTCCTTTTCCCCCTCTCTAACTTCCCCATGAACTAAAAGGGACCTTACAGCCGATCCTAACATTTTCTACATGCAACACTACTAATCAGGGCAGGGAAAATTTTACATCTGAGAAGACTGTGGGCTTGGTCCTGACAAAGACGATTACAGGGTAATCCTCAGGGAAAAATAAGTCAACTACATTAAACAGCAAATGAACAAATACTGAACACTGAAAACTCGTATCTCATTTACATCTGTATGTCACTAATATGGCAGCATTTTCTTCCTAAATTCTCTGTTTCTCCTGCTGCAATCCTGAGTAATAACCTAAAAACTAAGCTACTAAGGGTAGCAAGGCTTAACTATGTGGCATTTCTGCTGTCACCCGGTGAGAAATATGGAGGGAAAACAGCTCCTTTGGTGCAAATCAGTGAAGTTCCCTTTTTATCAAATGATGATTCATTTCCCCAGCTGAGTACCTCTCCTAAGACTAGGTGGAAAATGACATAATTACAAAGGCAAAGAAAAAACCCCAAATTTTTTAAAACACTGCAGGCCACTTTGAGCACTTCTACTTCTCAAGGAGAACAACACAGGCTTCCAATTAATGGTATCGAATTTGCTGACCAATTTTTCTCTTTGTAAACGGCCAGTAAATTTAATTTTCAGGGTTCATTTTGTAATTGGGTGGTGATTGGTGGCACAAAGTCTAGTTGGAGGCCAGTAACTAACAGTGTACCCCAGGGGCAAATATTGGGTCTGGTCCTGTTCAACATCTTCATTAGTGATCTGGATGCTGGGGCAGAGTATACCCTGAGCAACTTTGCAGATGACACAAAATTGGGAGGAGTGGCTGATACACCAGAGGGTTTTGCTGCCAACCAGAGGGACCTGGACAGGCTGGAGAAGTGAACTGACAGGAACCTCATGAGGTTCAACAAGGGGGCTTATAAGAAAGACGGGGACAAACTTTTTAGCAGTTGCAACAGGACAAGGGGTAACGGTTTTAAACTAAAAGAGGGTAGATTTAGCCTAAATATAAGGAAGAAATTGTTTACAACGAGTGTGGTGAAACACTGGCACGGGTTGCCCAGAGAGGTGGTAGATGCCCCGTCCCTGGAGACATTTAAGGTCAGGTTGGACGGGGCTCTGAGCAACCTGATCTACTTGAAGATGTCCCTGCCTATGCCACGGGGGTTGGACTAGATGACCTTTAGGGGTCCCTTCCAATCCAAACTATTCCATGATTCTGTAAGCGCAAAGAATTCCTGCATCTGGGGAAGAACAACCCCAGGGCCCAGAATATGCTGGGGGCCACACAGCTGGAAAGCAGTTTTGTGAAAAAGGACCTGGGGACACGAAGGACACCAGTTGAACATAACCCAGCAATGTGTCCTTGCAGCAAATAAGGCTAACAGTATCTAGGTCTGCATTAGGAGTATTGCCAGCAGGCTGAGGGAGGTGATCCTTCCCTTCTACTCAGCACTAGTGAGGCCACACCTGGAGTGTGGGGTCCAGTGCTGGGGTCCCCAGTAGAGAAAAGATCAGAGCTACTGGACATAGCCCAGTGAAGGACCACGAAGATGATAAAGGAACTGGAGCATCGCACACATGAAGAAAGGCTGAGAGAACAGGGACTGTTCAGCCTGGAGAAGAGCAGGCTCAGGGGTGGGATCTCATCAAGGTATATAAATATCTCAAGGGAGGGTGCAAAGAGGATGGAGCCAGGCTCTTTTCAGTGGCGCCCAGTGACAGGTCCAGAGACAATGGGCACACACTGAAACACAGGAGGTTGCCTCTGAACATCAGGAAACACTTTGTCACTGTGAGGGTGACCGAGCACTGGCATAGGTTGCCCAGGGAGGTTGTGAAGTTTCCTTGCTTGGAGATGTTCAAAAGCCATCTGGACAGGGTCATGGGCAACTCATTTATGTGTCCCCGCTTGAGCAGGGGGATTGGACCAGATGATCTCCAGTGGTCACTTCTAACCTCAGCTAGTCTGTGATTCTGTGAATGTGTATGGCCCATAAAACTGCACTGTATTCTTGCACCTGTGTAATTTACTCTAGATTTCCAAGGCAAATCACACAGCTGTAATTTATCAGATGGAATTACTGCTCAGTATTAAAATTTACTTTATGGACATAAATAAAATGGCAATTGTTGATTTTTAGAAAGACAAACTTCTAAATGAAAAGATTAAAATTAAAAAGGAGACAAAGACTTTTTTCCAATTTAAAATTTGGTGGCCTTTATACTTTTCAATGATATTAAAATGCTGCTTTACAGAGAATGAAGTGAGCTGTTGTTGAAGTTCAAAGCAGGGGGTCCTTCTGACAGACTTTGTTTGACATGCCTGTATTGGTTTCCAATTAAGCATGTAATTAAGTACTTTGGTGAATTCGAGAAGGAAAGTGACAAATGGTATTTCATCTGACCCAAGTAAAATGCAGACTGGATTGACTGCAGTCTTGGGCCTGCCCAGACTAAAGGCTTCTCCTTTCTTCAGAAGCCGAGGACACTGTGCACAGATATTTGTGATTGCACAGGCGAGTGCATCTCATCTCATGGCTACAATTAGCAGCACCTATCCTCCTGTCTCAGAGTTTAATGATGGATGGAGTTTTCTAATACACTGTGGGATTTATGCTTATTCCCATTTGGGTCAAACGGGAAGGGGTTTTACCCTGCTGTCGGATTAGCTATGTGCATTATATTTGCCTTATCCTCAAGCAGACATCCATGGACCCAGTGGGGTAAACAGACTCAAAATGTCCCAACTTACTGCTCAGTAAAGGTACCCGGCTATGGGGTGCTTGGAAAAGAGCTTGGACAGGCAGCGAGGCAAACATCAGCTACAGAACCCAGGAGAGAAAGCTGCGTTTGTTAAATGACAGATCTAGGGCAAAACACCAACTCCTTCTCGGTGCAGAATCACAGCTGTCCAGCCGTCCTCTGCGCCAGCTGCAGAAGAGCTGGGTTTGATGACAGCCCCCAGCAGATGGAAACCTTCCAGGGAAGAATCAAGACCTGCTGGTCTTTCCCAGGGAAGTTACTAATGCCATGGCTTGATTAAATCCTATCTCCTGCACTTTCCTTGTCTTCCTTTGCTACTTTAGCTTACTTACTTCAGTAAGCGTTAGTACTTACAAGTGAAAGCTTGGGTTCAACAAAGGTAGCTCCCAGGTACTCAAAGTAAGATGCCAGTCCCTCATTAAGCCACAGATCATTCCACCAGTTCATTGTAACCAGATTTCCAAACCACTTAAATAGAAAGAAAAAATGTCTCAACATCTCTTTGGACTGCCATTTTCATTTTTGCATTTCAACACACATACCTATGCTGAAATAACTTTATTTAATGTGTACATGTCAATGAATAAAATGCTATATATTCCTTCAGATAGTGAAAATTCAGTAGAAAAAGATGCATCTTGGAAAAAGTCAGAGGTTCAAGGCAGTTATTGTTTAATTATTTCACCTACAGTTTCATACCATGAGTATGGATGTCAGTGCTTTATGTCATTCTTTTACTCTATTCAATTTTAAACACTTCCCAATAAAATTTGAAGATCTAAAAGATCAGGCTATGATTAAAAGTAGGGCATTTATCAAACAATTACAAAAACATTTTTACATGTTCTTAACAGAAGGAAATTGTCAGGGGGATGATAAACAGAACTGGGGAAATAACCATTTCCAAAATCAGCAAATCCCTACCCTGGCAAGCAATAAAACTTCCACAACAGCTGCTACATACTCATATTTGGCAGTTGACATTTAACAAAAAACTGATCACTTGTGGATTTCTATTTTATTTGTTAATTCTTAAAAACTTGAACTACAACTTTTTTTAAAATAAAGTTTAATAAAGTACTGACATTTGTTTTATTGGCCTGCAATAAAAACACTCTGCTCATCTGAAGGTCTGAAAAGTTACAGACCTTGTCAGAAGGGCATACAAGTGCACTAGCCAAGTTAAACTCTTTCGCTGATTTTATTGACTAAGTGCAAACATTTGTTGCTCTGGCAGACAACAGTAAATTAAACATAGTCAATAAAAAAGTGAAACTGCATTATCATTCCAAACCAAGTAAGAAAATTTTTTAAGATCTCTATGAAAACTGGACAACAGTCCAGCTACAGTGTAAAATGTATTCATGTTAATTTTGTTCTATCATACCACAGGCTGTTTCTTACAGAAAAACAAATACCTTTTGCAATATGTACATGCACTCCCACTACAAAATAATACTTATGAAGTCCATTAATTCTCCCACCGAAGTACTAAGTATACTGCATATAGAGAGAACTGTGTCATCCCTACATCCCTACACTATTTTCTAGTATGGCATTAAGGTACTGTGTAAGAGAAAAAAATAAGTAGCCCATAAACAGTTTTTTATCAATAAGTCCTGTGTAGTCAGTATGCAGTCTGTAATATGGCGGAATCTGCTTTTAATATTGATTTATCAGCTGAACATATGATCAAATAGTCTTTCAGTCCTCTAGTGCTCACATCCCCTACTGTCAAGTTACTGTTTTTCTTCTACTAATCAGTGACTGCATCATCAGCAATTGGAAGGAAACAACTTCATAGACAAATAAATGTACAGAATTTTTTACCACATGCCTGGTGTCCTAGCTCATGTGACACAATTATGGCAATCATTGCCTTTCTGCTTGTTAATTTATCACTTGGGAGGTACATCAATGATGATTCTTGGAAAGTCATTAGCCCCCAGTTTTCCATAGCACCTGCTCCAAAATCAGGCAGTGCAACCAGATCTAAATTGATTCAAACAGAGAAAAAAAAAGTGGATCATCTTTAAAATTTTCAGAAGTAAAATTCTCACATGATTTTAATGCTCACACTGGTTCAGTGTGCAATTAAAGGATACCACATTTTAGTGGTTCTTTACTGTATTATGGCAACAGTCTTGCAAATGGTCCATGAAATTTCTTCTCATTATACTTTTCCTCTATAATTGCCACTCTTTCAGGGAGCCACGTAATAAATTCCCATGAAGCCCAGATCTGCACTGTATCTTGTACATACAAATGTTTTGAACAAAAATGAAGGTTGTATTCTACCAATGCTAGGAGAGAATATATTCACTTCTGGCTCTCAGAAATCTTTCTCTGCATGAGTTTCTAGTGTGTTTGGTCATAGTTGATCATACTCACCTCTTTCTTCAGCCTAGCAATTGATAAAAAAAAAATCTTGCTCTTTCAGCTCTGTGAGTAGAGGGATCCTTTCCACTCTTATCTGAAAGGAGCCTTAGAAACATCATCTCTTTGTTTCCACAGCAGGGCTGTTACCTCTATACTCCCCTTCTGCCTTACGCACAGGGAGCAGTTTTCCAGTTCAAATGTGAGAGTTGGATGAAACAGAGATGGGCCTTGGATGAACATCAAGGATCTCAAAGAAAGATACACCGTTTAAACTCAGCAGCAAAGAGCAAAGAGCAACAGAGCATTTTGGAAGCAGACACAAGCTTGTATCCCAAACCAGCTGACCGTGAGCCAGTTCCAGTCCAAAAGCAACGCAGTTAACGTAAGTGTGGTGCTGAACCCCAGCAAAGCTAGACTGCATCTCAGCGGGGCTTATTGCCTCAGGCTTACAGCAAAAGTATTTAACTTTGGTGAGGCAGCCCTCATCTAGCCAGCCTGGGGGAAGAGAGCTCACTTAAAACTGCGTTAAGATCAGGTGAAGACAAACCTTTAAATACCTCTAATTTTAAATGTGTTTATTCTTAATTTCACATTTTGAGTTCAGAATAGAAATCTCTAGCATTTAAAAGGAGCTGTTCTTGGTTGATCTAATCCTATTGATTTTTAAGCAAAATATCAAAGAAAGTCAGTGGGAAATGCAGTTGGTATTGCATGACATTGCAGTGGGGATTGTAATGGTATTACAGCATTCTGTGAAACTGAAATCTTACCTAACAGGAAGCCCGAGATACCGTTCTTCTACTTCAATTTTGTAGCATTTTTATACTTATGAATTAACGTATTGACATTGCTGCTAAACAGAACACAAGCATGAAACAGAACTGTCTACAGCCCTTGAGTAGCTTTTATGATTACTAAGATAACAAAATTTAAAAAGTGACAACTGCATATATTACATTTTCCATAAGAAGCGTAATGTTATTCTAAATACACTGGGAGATAACACATTTACACAGATGAAAATTTATTTCTTTCAAGTGCCGAAATACAGATTTGACAAATCAACAAATTATCTAGTCAAAAAAGAGGGAAATTCTTCCTCCACAATCCTGCAATCTGCTAAGATCATGGGCAGGTCAAAACTTGTTTTAAGTAAGAACTGCCTTCTATGCTCTCGATATTCTACCAATTTCTATAAAAGAGCACATTCCCCCATAACGTTAATGCTGAAGCCCTTGGGAATCCAAGTACAAGTAGCAGACAAACTGTACAGTGAACCATATGCTGGCACCCTTTTTTGACTAAAGCTTGACTTAGCTAACTTACCTGATGTCCATTTTAAGCCGAAGCAATGTTTTCCTGCAGGAATCGTTTTCTGAGGGGGGAATGTGCAGGAACACACAGCCAACTCACAGGTAAGATGGGGACATACTGAAGAACGCAAGGAATGCTTTGGGAAGACGTGGGTTATAGCAAGCATGGATTTACTAGGAGGACGTAGGGACTAACCTATACCAGGTCTGTGCATCCCAGAAATAGCCACGTGACTGAACAACTCCTTTCTATGCACTCTGTAGCCCCGTCTGCCCCTTCATGAGGAAATGATGCTTTAAGAGAATGAGTGTGATGTGAAGGTAAGAGTGCTGAGTTAGGGTTTAATAAGAGCCATGAGATGCAGAAAGGAGAATTCAGTGAGTTAAAGCTTTGGGGTTTTATTCCATGAATGTGGTAAGCTGGAAAAAGAGAATACTGCAAAAGAACCCATTGAACATGGTGCTCTCATTTATTAAAGGTAGCAAGTATAAGGCTTTATGCTTGAGTTTACTATTTATTTTGGAACAACTTGTTGATTTTCAACAAAAGAAGGAAAGTGAAACGACTGGTGCCAACACAGTATATTTTTTTACAACTTCCCTCAAGAGTGTTACACCATCAGCAGCCATTTCTGGTCCGTTTAAGAAAATAAGAAATCTCACCTGTCTTTGGCAGAGGGTAGCTGACGTTAAGTAAGTCTTCCAGAAATGAAAATATTGGGCCTGTGATATTTAAAGCATAGTCAACATACCCATTTTTAACTGCCTCTTTCCGAGCCCAAATACGTATCTGCAGTAAAACAAGGAGGTATTATTTTAGAAAACCCTCATATTTTCATTTGCTTTGCTTTTCTTCTGTGAATCATTGTTTGAAAATGCTGTCTGTCCACACCAGATCATCCAATGAAGCTTTTAATGAAAAAAATCCCAACCCAAGTCTTGCTGGACCTAACAAAATGTGGCACAGAGCCTAATCCTGCTAAAACCTAGAAGAGTTCCAGCACTTCAAAAGGGCCAAGACTTAAATCCAACTATACATTGCTGGAACAAACAGACTCCTGATCTTTCTTTTATTAAATAGGAAATGCTGTAAAACTATTTAGATCCACACATCTTAAGCCAATGTATTGCAGCCAGTGAGTCTGGGTGACAAACCTCCCTTCAGCCCACCACTCTTTTCCTGAAGAGAGAGAAATGGATGTTCAGAGAGCATTTGCTGTCCAAACATACACATCTCTCCTCTTGAAGTTTCTCAGAGGCTGAAACAAACTACTGGCCTCCCACTGCTGCTAAAAAGAGCAGATGACATCTGAGCAGATGACATCTGTACCTCTGAGTAACGGCGACGGCAGCAGCAAGCGAAGCTTTCCCCTCCCACGCCCATTTGCTGTGTCATGGTACTGAAGAGGGCAGCTGCTTGCCCAAGGTGATGGAGTAGACTGAGGAAAGTTTTATGTCTCCATCATGTATCTCTGGATGCAAGACCCCCCCCAGGTGCCTTGCAGCTCAAAATCCCCTCATTTCTTGCATCTCACAAGAAGCTGCACAGCCAAACCCTAATAGCACAGTTGGGGACGCATTAGGATTTAATTTAAAAGGGAAAAAATAAAGCATATTCAGTCAACAGAACATCCTCAGCCTCTGAGCCCCTCTTTTCAGCTGAGGCTTCAGAGGACATTCAAAGATCGGATCACTTCATTTTGCAAAACCTAACATAATGGGCAGACTTAAAATCCTAATCCTAGTATGAGCTTTGAGTTATAATACCAGTGTTTCGGGTTGTAAATTACTTACTAGAAATGACAAAACAGACACAACAAACATGCTCTCATAAATACTGTGGAGGCACAAATTGAGCATCTCTGCCTGAAACCAAGGGGCGAAATACTCTCGCCTGTGTATCTCACAGAAGATGGGTGGTGGTGCCTCTTCCCTCTGAAAAACCCTAGTTTGAATGCTTTGCTTTGCTGATTCCTGTCAGTACACATCAGCCCAAGAAAAAGGCACCACAGGCAGAGCCGTAAGCATCCAACATGTCTTATACAGGGTATATATGCAGGTATGACATAGCAAGTCCAATTTTTACTTTAAAAAGTGCTTCCTAGGTCACCTCTGCACTGTACTCTCACCTTGTCCCACCTTTGCCCAGTAGGACGACAGCAAGCTAACCATGAAGCTAACATGGTGCTCTCATTTATTAAAGGTAGCAAGTATAAGGCTTTGTGCTTGAATTTACTATTTATTTTGGAACAATTTGTTGATTTTCAACAAAAGAAGGAAAGTGAAACGACTGGTGCCAACAGAGTGTATTTTTTTACAGCTTCCCTCAAGAAGCTTTGCCCATTGTAGTGTAAGAACAAAACCGAATACTCACTGATGAAAAGGCTTCAAACACAAAACAGACACTTTTGGAGGCTAAAAAATGTGTCCACTGCAGAATAAAAGGTTAAAATACTAGTATACAAAATGCTTGGAGCACAGTATTGCACCTTCTGATGTCATGACGCTGCTCCTCAAAGGGCCTTGAAGAACAAGGCACTGAACTTCAGTGGTTTGTCACAGCAGTGGAATTTTTTCCAACTAAGAGAGCTAAGAAGATAAGAAGATCCTGAATTATGACCAGCACTTTCTGCAGAGCAGCTGCCTCTAAAGTTTTAACATACAGAGCCCATACCTACTTGTGGAATTGTATGAAATGATCAGGACAGGACAATAAACTAATTGTCCTAAAGGAAAGCTTTCTGCCGAAATATCTGCAGGATAAATGTTAGCAGTTTTGCCACATAAGCAAATAGTTTTGGAATGAAAAGCACAGTTAATGTCTGTGATATCTTCTGAAGCACATGATGCACCTTGGAGCCAAATTCTGTTGTAAACTGCTATAATGTGTTATGCAGCCTCATATTTACCTCATTTCCCCGCTCGGTTCTGGTGACATAATCAAAATCACAAATCACAAAAGCAGTCAAGTAAGTTGACATTTTCAGCGAAGTGTTAAATGTGGTAACAGTCCACAGGCTTCCATTTTCATCCTTCATTTCAGACACATCTAGAAAAAAACATCAAAGAAATATTCAAACCACTGCTCCTCCATAACAAACAAGGAATTTTGTGTTTTCTGCATGGTTTTTTACACCTCTCTAGATATGCTGGTTTTCTGCACTAACTTCATATGTTTCTGGTAGAAGGCAAGCAGCCAGACTCCTTGCTACTGCCACGTATCAGAGTCGCAACCTGCCATGCAAACACCAAAAATCCACTCTTGAGCGTCTTAACTGAAGTCTTGGAAGGATATCAAACTGCATCAGATTTAGGATGTGGACAAACTGTGGACAATTCATCCCATGCTGCATATCTCTGAAATGTGTGCTCTATTATGATTCAAATATAGGTCATGTGTGCCCAAGAATTATGAAATACTTAGTCAGACACCTTCCTTCTAAATAAGGGAGACATGGACAAGATCCTCGGGGGAAAAAAATGCTTCAAGCAACTCTCACAGAGATCCCATCTATTATAATTCCTAAGTTACTTAGCTTCCATGCAAATTGCATCAATCTTCCTTTTTATGGCTGAAAATTATTTAGGTGAAAAGTAAAGATTCAGTGGCACTGAATTGCAGAAAAAAGACATTAAGGAGGAGGCAAGAGATCCAACAGATTCCTGTAGGAATACTAATTTACAGAATTTGTTTGGAATCTTATATCCTACATGCATCCCACACGAGATCCCAGCAAGGGACAGGAGGAGCATCTCCAGAGCATTATAGTTCTCTCGTTCTTATTCTGCACATACGCAGAAAGCTATAGTGTCTCTGCCTGGTAAAACAATTCATTGTATGTTGTAAATAGATCTTAAAATTTACTTAGAATGAAAAGAATTGCTTAATAACACAATTACAGGCTTTGCATACTGGAGCTGCCATTTTGTTTTAAGCAGATGTCACGCAGTACGACAGACTGACTGACAGACACTGACTAAGCAGTCAGGACTCAGCCAGGAATCAAAACTGTGCAGCCTCCAGCAACCAGAGGAGAGAACATCGCAACTGACAAAACTATGGAATTATTGCCATCAGAGACATTAATTATGAATAACTGTCCCCAAATTTTTAAGTTCATAGGCACAGATTTTCTGGCATTTTCAAGGCATTAGCCACAGACAACAGAACACTGTTGATATAGTCTGTTCAGAAAAATTACACCCTTTTTAAAAGTAATTTAGGGGGAAAAAAAACCAAGTCTCCTTGTTGTTTACCTACCAATAGCAGGCATGTTGGAAAGAGCCACATAGCTTGGGTCATGGACAATTCTGATATTAAATGTGGCCTTCATGGCAGGTTCATCAAAACATGGATAAACTGTCCTGGCATACGTTGGTTCCAGTTGGGAGGCAATCAGCATACTGTATTAAAAATACAAGTTAAGATTAATCCAGCATGCTACAGATGACCAAAACCAATATATAGTGCATAAAAACACCAAATCAGAAAAATCAAGAAATTAATCACATAGATATGCAGATTTGGAAAAGGTTTGGTTATTATTTAAAGCCATGATTAAATCCCCATGCCCAACAGACTGTTCAGTTTGCACACCTCTAGAGAAAAGCAGTCTTTTTTAATTAGGTCTTTTTTTTTTCCCTCACAGGCCTTTTCCAGATATCATATTTTAAATATTTGAGCTTTTCCAGTTTGCTTATTAAGACAGAGTTGATTAAAGTTTTGCACACAGCAGGCCAGTGCTCAAAAGTGATACAATGCACAACTTTAATTTCGTAATTAGAACCTCTCTGCACACCTGCTTCTCTCTCTAATGCAAGCACTTTTAAACTGTACCTTTAAATAAAAAATTTTAATAACCGTTAGGTGACTGTGCATACATGCACTTGCACACTTCTGTCAAACCACATAGAGAAGAACTCCAGTGAAAGCAGCACCAGTGCTGCCCCAAGGCACTGGCAAGCCCTTCAAGAGGATTCTTTTCTACATTATGCTATGGAGCCTTGCCTCATTTAGGGCAGATCTCTGTGACACACTGGCTGAGACCAAAAGATAAATCCCATGGCCAAAGTTTCAAGAAAGAGCTGTACATCTGGGCTGTTCACGTCAGGACATCTTTACCGGGAATTAGAAAAATACACATGCAGTGGTTCTCAAAGCTCCCTACCTGTCAGCCAAGTAGTTGCCAGCAGCTGGGCATACAGGAATGGCAAGATCTCTTGTGTCAGTGACCTCGGAACTATCACAGGGCTAATACTTTTCAGCTGCAGTTGGGGTGTTCCCTAACAGTGTATTCACACTAGGTTCACACAGGCTTACGCTTAGCACAGAGAGGTCCCAAACGAGCCAGAGGCCATCAGGACAGTAACCATACATTAAATAACACTATGTAGCGAGTGAGATCTACCATACAAGCACCGCATGACAGCGCCTGATGGAGATCTGTAGCACTGAACCGTGTCCAAAACCTAAGATTGCATGTTTTAAGATTCCCTTTTCCTGGTACCTGAAATGAATGGTTTAGCTTTCCACCGATAATTTACATCACTTTGCAGAAGATGGACTGCATTGTGTGCAGTTCAACCCAAGGAACAGAGTCATTAGCTTCCTGCTTCCATTGACAAAACTCAGCGATGCTTTCCACCCAGCTCCCAAGGCCAGCCTTCCAGGAGTCCTTGTCTTTTTGAAAGATGTTTGGCTGTTGCTGTTTTAATAGCTGTGCTACCTAACCCTGCTCAAACCGATCTAATCAACCCAGTGCTGAAAGCATCAGCAACTCTTCTATACTATGTCACCCCAGCTGGTGCTGGGGAACTGAGTTAATGTCAACAGGACAACTGTGTAAAAGCACTGTACTCTCAAAACATGGTACATTTTGCATTTAACAGACGTATCTAGTGCTGTACCATAACACAACTTATGACATTTAAAAGAACCCATGCTGAACACATGTTGATGCACGGTGACTCTTGGGGCCACGACGTCTGTTTTGAAGTGAGGATTAGCTTGAGAGAGAGCAGCACAATGTATTTGACTTCCTGCCTGTCAGTGCAGGAAGATTTTCTTTATGGACCTGATTCACTGCAGAGACAAGTGTGTGCTGTGCCAGCCACCAGCTGCCTTGCTGAATGCAGCTGAAGCTCCACCTGAGACAGAAGTATCACCTCCCCCCCTCCTTTATCCTGTCCAATGACAGAAAGTGACTTAACCCTCTGCCAGGGTTGCACAGGAGCAGCAAAAGTGACAGAATCATAGAATCATAGAATCA